CCCGCCACCTTAGGTGTATGTGGCTGGCGCCTTAGCCGCTTGAGCCACAGGCGCCGAGCCATCAGGGGCTGGGTTTGAACCTCCCACCTCTGGTATATGGGGCTGGCACCTACACCTGGAGCCACAAGAGCCACCTGTCATTCTGCCTTTTAAAACCTCAATTACCTGACAGATAAAAATCCTTTGAAAAATTGCTAAAAGCGAAGTTGTTCCTCGCAATGATTACATGTTACTGCAAAAATTTAGATACAACTTGAATATTCACCACAGAAAATCTATTAGGTAAATCTTTGGAGGAAATACATCACTTAGCCCTTTGCCATGCTTTGACATAATAGTAACTGAAAAAGGCAAATTGAAAAATAGCATACACACGGTGACTGCAGCCACAGAATACATAGGCTACAATGTCTGTGAGGAAAAGCACGGTTTTCACTTCTCTACTTTTCAAATGCCTTGTAATATATTACCTTAATTTTGGAAAAAATAATTATATGATATTCAAGTAAAATTACAGCCCAGAAGGCAACTAGTATTCATATATGGGTTTTCACTGCTTTTTCATTTATTGGCTTTCAAGTTGAATCATTTTGCAGCAAGATCTTTACCATAACACTATAAAATTTCATGTGTCATTTCAAAATCCTATTTTTATATGTAATTTTCTCATTTGCTTTAGAGAAAACATGCCACTACCAGTGAAGGTGTGGCAGGGCAGAGATTTGGTCTTGAAACGCAGGTGTCAAACCCAAATCCCAGAGTTTTGTCACCCTACAAGAACATTGTGACTGTCCACAGCCAGCCTTTCTAATCCTCTGAAGGCTTTATTAGAGCAAGTATAATATATTTTTTGCCCTCTATTTAATCTCATTAAATAATTTAATACATATTGCTGTTTTTATGAACAAAGAAATTAGCATTTAAGAAGCAATTACTGTATACTGCACATTTTAATTGGATTGTTCTCTTAAAATATTCCCTTTATAAGATATAGATTATGTCCCCATTTTACAGATGAGGAGGCTGAGCCTCAGAGATTTTAAATAACTTCCACGAGTACAACAACCAATAAGTGATGGAATTGGGATTTAAACCGAAGCTTATGCTCTCTCCTCTGAAGCCCAGGGCCTACATGGAGTGGCAGGAAACAGCCAAACCCACACAAGGACAATTGTGTTAAAACAGAATTAATATTGTATATCAAAGAAGAAAATGAACTTGTAACCATGGCATATTGGCAATATTTGTGGAGTTTAAAAGGAGTAGATAAGCCAGGCACAGCCGTTTGAACCTGTAATCCTAGGACTCCAGGAAGTCAAGGTGGGAAGATCCCTTGACCTCAGGAGTTCCAGACCAGCCTGAACATGAGTGAGAGCCGTTTCCACTAAAAATAGAAAAATTAGCCAGTCATGGTGGCATACAATTGTATGTAGTCCCAGCTACTTGGGCAGCAGAAGCAGGAGGATGACTTGAATCCAGAAGTTTAATGTTTCTGTGAACTATGATGACACCACTGCCCTCCAGCTGGGGTCACAGAGAGACGCTGTCTCAAAAATAAAACTAAATTAAAAGAAGCAAATAATTACCTTAATATTCTGCATCAGTAAGATTTTATAAAACTTACATTGCTACTTTTTTTTTATTTTCAAAGTATGGTTTCAGTAACTATGGGATTTATAATGATTAAAATATTGACTGCAAAGAAATCATTTTCAGCAAGCTTTATTTATGGGATTGAGGTGCCAATGCTTCTGAACCCAATCTGCATGGCTTTAGCCTATAAATTAAAGGAAACAAATGAAAAACAGCCAACAAATACAAGCAATAGCATCTGCCACTCAGTCAGTACCTTCAGTCTAATGTTGGTTCATTTGTCTGCCTCTGCCCTGACCATGGCCTCATCTTTACTGCACAATTCACAAACTCTTGTAAGATAAGACTCAGAATTTAAAACTGACTTCGAGCAGGATCTGTGGCTCTGTTTCAGATGCTCTTGGTGGCAGTAATCATGGTGAAAATGAAGATGATGATGGCTGATAATGAATCTAGATAATTAAGGTTCTTATGTAAATTATTTGGAAATAAATTGACTAGATTGTCTGGCGCCACTGTCCCAAATTGCTGGTAATTACTCCACCCACCTGGGGCTTTCTCATTCTGCAAATCTGGCCTCTGTGTACCCAACTTCTCCAGCTGTCTTCCTGCAGTGATCCCAGAGGCCAGGCCACCCTGGATCCACCGCTCCACACCACATCACATCCTCTTGAGACAAGAGTCCAGCTTCTTGGGATACTGCATATTCTGGGACTCAGACAGTAGAACACTAGGACAACAGATTAAGGATGCATACAGCTGCTAAGTGGAAGAGAAAGTTTACTAGAAATTCAGGAACCAAATGTATTGCTCAGAAGTTAAAGTCAATTATACTTCTTTTCATTGTTTTAATTCAAAGCTAGCCCTCTTTCTGATCCCCTCTTTTATGCAAAACACTGTTTCTATCTTCATCCTCCATTCTTTTTTTTTTTTTAATTTCAGGTTAATGTGAGGGCACAAACAACTAGGTTACAATATTTGCATTTGTTAGGTAGAGTCCTTCTTGTAGCTGTGTCTGAGGTGAACCATACTCCTTTACATTTTGCCCATTAAGTGGGAGCACACCAATGCCCTCCTCTTCTTGTATCATGTCTTAGATTTAAATATCCATCTTGAGTCAATTTTTGTAAGTGATGAAAGGTGTGGGTCCAGTTTCAATCTTTTACATGTGGTTATCCAGTTCTCCCACCACTACCACCATTTATTGAATAGGGATTCTTTTCCCCAGGGTATGCTTTTGTTTGGTTTACCAAAGATCAGATGGCTATACAAGACTGGTTTCATCTTGGTTTTCAAGTTGGTTCCAAATGTCTATGTCTCTATTTTGTTTCTTTACCTTCTGCAATTAAGTCTTTGATCATCTGGAATTGACATTTGCATGGAGTATGAAGTAGGAGTCCAATTTTTGCAACATAGATAACAATTTTCCCAGCACCATGTATTGGAAAGTTTATCCTTTCCTCACTGATCTAAAATCACATACATCATATACTGGATTTCCATTTGTCCATGGAACCATTTCTGGATCTCTATCCTGTTCTACTGGTCAGTTTTGTCTCCCTTAGACAGATACCGCACTTGAGTTTACAGACCTTAGCGTTATACCTATAATATACCTTGATATCCATACGACAAGTCACTCATCTTGTTCTTTTGTAATCAGAAGTGTATTTACTATTCTTGGCCACTTGTATTTCCATGTAGATTTTAGAATCAGCTTGTCAAGTCATACCTACTACAACTTCCTGAAAATCTCTTGGGATTTTTAATTAGAATTTTATGAATATATTGATTCATTAGTGGTGAATGTACATCCTCATCATCAAGTCTTTCTCTGAATGAATAAGATTAATCTCCTTATTGATTTGTCTTCCATGATGTCTCCTAATAAAGTTTTATAATTTCTCCAAAAAGAACTTTACATAGTTTATTAGATTTATTCCTAAGTATTCTCTCTTTTTTGGATATTTAAGTTACATTTTATGTTTTTGCTGATATGTGAAAGGCAATTTGACTATTGCATATCAGTTTTTGTTTCAACAACTATGCTAAATTTTCTATTAATAGTAAATAATAAGCTTTTTTCTTTCTTTCTTTCTTTTCTTTTCTTTAGTTTTTCATAAATATATCGCTCATTTATTTTTCTTCCTATTATACTAGCTAGTAAATCCATAAATCATGAAATAAAATAGATGGTAGTGAGTATCTTTGTTTTGTTCTTGTTCATAAAGGTGATTCTTTCCAGATTTCACCATTAAGTATCAAGTACACTATAAAGCACTTCCTGTATACCATTTATCACATTAGGGGTGTTCTAATCTATTTCTAACGTGATGAGTTTTATCATT